AAGAAAGCTCACGAGCTTCTTGATACCAAACTCGAAAGCTCACGAGCTTAAAATTACCAAACTTGACTCAAACATGAAATAGAAAGTTAAAGTTTGACCTGAGCTTGAAAAAATTTGAACTCGAAACATTCTCAAACTTAATTCGATTGAAGCTCAAACTCGAACTTAAAAAAACTGAACTCGAAACATTCTCAAACTTAACTCGATTGAAGTTAAAACTCGAGTAACTCACAATCTGTCTTGTCTCATTTACAGCTGACTCTTGGATTTACCATTACAACTAGCTAGCTAGCTAGGGTTTTCCATGTGGTTTAAGATGTGAAAAGAAACAACATTTAATTCTTAATTGCATTGTTCAACTTCCAGCAAATCTAAATCATGAACCTCGAGGGTTAGACTTTAGATTGTTTGATCCTTGTTCAACATGCACTGAGTTCTGTCTTGTTGCCGACCAAGCCATTGCTGACGTTGGAACCAAGGACTTCCGTGGACCACGAGGAATCAAATAAGATCTACGTTTCGTTGAATCAAAATTATGAAATTTCAAGAAATAAAAGCTTGACATGCTCCACTTATACATGTATGAAAACTTCCAAGTAGGTTTGACTAAGGCATTCGACAAAATATAAAGTCGATTAGGAGTATAGTGTTAAAACAATTTATATTTTATAATTTATAAATTATAGTTATTGATAAGTATGTAATCTATATGTGGTGTATTCTTACGGTTGGTAAAGATGCAGTAGGTAAAATGTATGAGGTGTAGTGTTTTCAGTGGCAGAGCCACAGCTGATTGTGGGCATGTATCCACCTTGAAATCCGAATTTTCTTCGATTAGTTACTTATTTCACTGATCGTGCCCATTTTGGAAAAAAATTTGTACCCACCTTGAAATATGAGTTTTCTTCAATTGATTACTTATTTCACGAACGGTGTCCACCTTGAAATTTTATTTGTACACATCTCATTTAAAAAATTTATGTTGTTAACGAATGTGTACCCACCCTGAAAAATATTTCTGGATCGGCCACTGTGAGTTTTACATGTTTGACACATGTTTTTAATATATATGGTTAGGATCCACTTACATAATATAAAACTTTTTAATTTTACACAGATTTAGGACTGTTGGATGAGTGAAAATAGATGATTGAGATTGACTCCTTGTTTATTTTTTCTAGTGAATATTTTCTTATTTCCTAATGTTAATCTTAGTAATCTATTTTCTCTCATCCGATGGTCCTAAATTTGTGTAAAACTAAAAGATTTTTACATAGTGCAACAAGATCCTATCTGTAACGTCCTAATCTAATCTAGTAAGATCCGAAGACCAACATACTATGACGTCACACGAACCATAAAAGAGGTTTACCAAAGTTTTCCCTTAAAATTCAACAATATCATTTGCATAAATCCATAAATTGACATACAATTTTTTTTTATATAAATTCATGTAACTTGTTTACATATTCGGGAGTCCCTGAAATACTTGAAATTAATATTCACAAAATATTCAAATTTACATTTTGACCTAACATATACAATTTCATTTGCATTACATGTCATTAGTACAAAAGATGAGACATACTCAAAAACTGGCGGTTGGTGCTAGTCGGTCTAAGTATACGCTCCACCAAAGGATCCTGCTCCTCCAAAGGATCCTGCTCCTCCAAAGGATCCTGCTCCTAACCTGCACACGGAAACAAATTCTGAACTCTAAGCTCACAAGATCAGTGCCACACTGATAACCAAACTATACTACATGCATTCTCTAATGTTTATACTTAAAACATACTTAATTCATAATCGTTATCATACGAGTATACTAACTAAACATACGTACAAAGGTAGACATCATGGTGCTGCTGAAGGGCTACATCTCGAAGCTCATGCACCTCTCTATCCTACCTAGGGTGGAAATCTGAAATTCTACGTCGGACTGCATCACCCGCCAACTTGCTCCGTCGAGCCTTGGGGCATCTACGCCCAGTTAGCAATCATTTGCCTAATACAACATCTTAGAGTTTGACATATATTAACATGCAAATGTATTCTTATTCTAGAGTGGTTCGGGTGTCCATCCTATTTCTCGGATATCAATCAAGGCTAGTTTTATTTCGCCCTTATTTTTTCTCATTTCTAATTGAAATTAGCAATATTTCGTTTTAATTTATCGTTTTATTAAAAATTATCCCAATTAAAAGCATACTATAAGTCCACGACCATCTGTGTACCATTCGAGACCTATTTGGCCCAAAACAAGAAAGGGTTTCAAAACCTATTTAAGAGGTTTCGAAACCTCACATATATCTTTACAGTCTACCCAGATGGTTTCGAAGCCTCCAAAAAATTACATTCTGGACTACTGGTTTCGAAACCAACCATAGGGGTTTCGAAACCTCTATTGAAAATTTGGTTCCTACAGGTTTTTACCTCCTTAAAACCTTCTTCAAAGCCACTCCAACAAATCCAAAAGCCAAATATAGGTTTATACGCTGTCAAATAGATCAAAAAAGGGGCCTTAACCAAGTTCAATAACATCCAACATTAAAATATATCATGAATGGCCATACAAGCTTCCCAACTAAAAATTTCTACATTGAAATGAATTCTAAGACTTACAATTGGTATAAAAAAGGTTATAAATGTGTTACCTTGAATGCTCGGCTGAAGAAAACTCCCTAAAATCACCCAAGGGTCAACTTCTCTTTTCTCCTTGCCTTGGATCCATCTCCAGCTTCTTTCACTAATGCATAAAGAAATGATGTTAATAGCTTATTTAGGAGACTTCTAAGAGTCTAAAAACATCTCTTAAACTTCATCATTTCCTAATCTCAAACTAGAATCATCCATTTCATAAACTCCCAAAAAAACCCATTTTTGAAAACTATGGCTAAAACTAGAGAAATGGAGCTTAAACTCAAGCTTGAAAGATGGAAAGAAATATTCTTACCTTGGCAAAGCAACTAGACTTGAATCCTTAGAATTTCACTTAGGAAAGGATGAAGAAAAGAGAGAATGAAAAAGAAGAAGATGGGGAGTGTTTGGTGAGAAATGAGGGATGGCTTTCATGTGGGAAACTCTTAAAATAAAGGGGTTTTCAGCTCTTAATTTGAACTATGGGCAAACTACTTTTTTAGTTCCTCACTTTTATTTTTCATCAATTACTCATCACTCTTCCATAACTCTTTTGGGCCCTGACTATAGCCCACCAACACTAAACTTGGTCCAACTATCTTATAGGACCCTTTAAACTTAACTTTAGGTCTCAAGTTGACCCGAACTACTAACCCGAGATTTGAGGTGTTACACTATCCTTATATATAAAGAAGAGCTTCCTAAGTTGAGTAGCTCGTGATTTGTTTGAACTCGACTCGATCAATGCTCAATTTGAATTTGAGTTAGACTCGAGACCTTAATGAGTTGAGTCTAGTAAAGCTTAACTCGACTCGATAAGTTTCGCGAGTAGTTTATTAACTTTTTAATTTTTTAACTAGTTATCTTAAAAAATTATTCTATTAGAAGGTATAATTAATAATTTCTAATTCGCTAATAGATAATAAGAAATATGTTAAATTAATAATTAATAATTACTACTAATTTGTTAGATTTTACATATAGTTAAAAAATAAGGTACAAATTCTGGTGAGCTTAACGAGCAACGAGTTTTTTTTAATGATCACAAATCGAGCAAAATTTTATCAAGCTTAATGAGCAACGAGTTAGTTGGGAAAAAAAATTTAACGAGCACGAGTCAAACAAAATTTTATTGAACTAAACAAACGAGTCAAACAACACTTCTTTTAACGAGCATGAGTCGAGCACTGTTCAACTCACGATCAACTCACTCGATAAACTTCCATAGATTTTGTGTGATTGATTATGATTGTGTTTGTTGTTATGTGTATATGCTAATTTGAGAAATGACAAACGTTGTACTTTGTTAGATTAGTATTTGCTTATAAAAAACATGTTATGTTCCACAAAGAATAAATAACATATGTGAATTACTTACAGGGAATTTCATTGCATGTTTGGTGTGTAATTCATGTGTAAATGAATATATTTATATATTTTTGATGTATTAAACATGATTATATGTGCATTATGTAGCCATGACATGTATATTAGCTTATACTAAGTTTTAATAATATTTAAGAGTGATATGGGCCATTCAAGGTTCATCCAAAGTGGTTAAAATAATATTTTAAATAATTTTGTAACAAGAAATTTTGTAATAACAACAATTTTGATTTTATTTAAAAATTCAACTAAGAGGGATTTTAGTGGAATATTTGACATGAAAACTTTATGAATAGTTGAATTCTGCTTTGGATCTTCACAGGTTTTTAAGAAGTTGTTAAATCTAATATTTTGAAGTATTTACATGTTAGTCCCACAACTTTGATAAATTTATGAAACTGTCCTTATATGGTTTAATTCGACTTGGGAGTTCTATAAAATGACAAAACAAGATTTAAGTTGATAATAAAATAAATATTTAAATAACGCAACACAAGGTTTATAAGTTTTAAAAGTTTAAGAATTGGTCCTTAAATGTGTGTTTGACATGCTTAGTGAATGAATTGTATTTTAAGGTTTTAGCTAAAGCTTGGCATAGAAGAGATCATGACGGTATGCTATAGTTTAATATGTCCATAAATAAGTGGATGAACAAATGCATGAGATGTTGTATGTTATGTGATGAATCCATGTTTGAATATAGTGCAAAGTTTGTTGATATATGTCAAAGTAGATAATTTATGATGTTCCACTATATGCGTATTTTGGAGTATTTTCCATGCAATTCTTCAACCTTCACTTCCTTTGCAATTTGGTCCTTAAATTTTTAATTTAATATCAAATTGAATCATCATTTAATTCAATAGACTTAATTGAATATAACATACGTCCGACTGATCAAAATAAATATTTGGTCCTCGAAAAGATTTTCAAAGGAAAAGGCTTATGACCGCATCGAATGGCCTTTCCTCCGGGAAATGTTAGAGCGTCTCGGATTCCATCAATCATGGGTTGATATGGTTATGTCTTGTATTACAACTGTCTCGTATAGCATCCGTACTGATTTTTTTCAAACATCATGCAGTCTACGACAGGGTGATCCGCTCTCTCCTTTTCTGTCGTCATATGTACTCAAGGTTTATCTTTGCTGCAGCAAAAATTACATTCGGACAAATTAAGGGTGTCAAACTAAGCCGAAATGGACCTCCTATTACGCACTTATTATTTACAGACGTTGTCTTCTCTTTTTTCAGGCATCAATGCAGAAGGTGATTCAGATTCGTGGGATCTTAGAGTGTTGTACTCAAGCATTTGGCAAGCAGATAAACTTTCACAAATCAAGTCTTTATTTTACTTCTCACACTTCAGCTGCTTTCCGTATTGAAACATGTCAGACTTTAGAAGTTGAGAAGGTTAATGATCCAGTCTTATATTTGGGTCTTCCTTTAATTATTGGCCGTAATACACGCCAAGTTTTCTCCTTCCTCAGTGATAAACTGCATTCGAGGGTTCAGGGCTGGTCGGAAAATCTGATTTCGTATGGTGGCAAAGAGGTTTACATTTAATCAATGGGTCAGGCTCTTCCTACATATGCTATGGGCTATTATCTACTTCCAAATTGTGTTATTTCGGAACTCAATGGACTGCTTCGGGATTACTGGTGGACAGGAAGAACTGAAGATCATGGATGGCCATTACTAGCTTGGTCGTTTATTTGTAAACCGAATCGAACGGATGGTTTAGGTTTTCGTGACCTTCATGCGTTTAACATGGCTCTTCTGGGGAAACAAGTTTGGCATCTGTTTCAACAACCTCAGAGTCTGATGAGTCGTGTCCTTGCAAGCAAATACTCTCGGAATGGAAATGTGTGGACTACCTCACTTGGAAACCAACCTTCTTACGCTTGGCGTGTCCTTCATGTTGCAATTTCAACATTTCGATCTGGCTATTTTCAACAACCAGGTATTGATAGTAACATTTGAAAGTTTTCTAAATCTTGGGGCAGCACTAAACCTATTCAGTTTGGAACAGTGCATCATGATAATGCTGAGAAACCTGTCCTATGTGGTGAATTCATGAACACGGGTGAAGCAACATGGAATGAGCAGCTAGTGCGGCAAGTATTCTCATCTCAGTATGCCAATCCATACTTTGGTGTCCGATTGCGCCAATTCATCAAGCTGTGCTGGTTTGGGGATATCATTCCTCTGGTTATTTTTCAGTGCGATCGGGATACGCTTGGCTGCAACGACCACAACAAATAGTCGATCCACCATCCCCTCTATGGTTATTTCTTTCCTGACTACCTACATTGCCGAAAGTGCATGTTTTTGGTTGGCGATTAGCTACAGACAGCCTACCAACATGTTCGTGATTGTAGCAAGCAGGTTTGGGTGATGGGAAGTCTCCTATTTGTGGAGTTAATCTTGAAACTACTTTACATGTTGTTCGAGATTGTGTTGATGTGATTATCTCTTGTTGATGTTTTAAGCTTATATAAGTTTTATATAACACCCAAAGACTCAAAACCAACTTAGAAATTCAAGAAATCAACGGTTGAAATTAAACTTACCTTTGAGATGGAACTAACGGGAAGAAGAAGGAGACAAGAAAAACAATAAGCTTCCAGATATATCTCACCCCCACATACTTATCTCTTAAATAAAGAGATAAATATCCTTTAAATGAAAATACCACATTACCCTTCATTCTTTCCTTCTTTGTTATTTAAACCAATCCAAAATATTCATTTTTTAAATCCCTAAACATTTCCATTTTTATTAAATTGATCACTAAATTTCAAAAAACTTTCATTTTAATCACTAATCCGATTTTTGGGATGTTACAGATACGGTCCAGGTGGTCGACAAAACCCTTATGATGGGTAGAAGTTTTTCTATTTATAGAGTCAAATACTTAATTACCAAGAATTCTTATCTAAAATAAATATTTACTTTATTAAAATACTGTCAATTGTAAAAAAAATCTTCAACAACTAGAATTATTTTGATTAATTCGAATAATAGTAATTCGATTCGATCGACCACCGAATTAACTGTTTGAACATCTCTATCTAAATCATAAGATAAATTATTTATAGTAGTTACAATCTAAATATTCCTATCAACGTGTCCATAACTCGAGTCATAACACTGTCAATGAACAAATTTTATCGAAAGGAGACTTTTGCCTTGTATATAGGAGTATATTTCTTTATTCCCATGCCTCCATTGTTAAGTTCCAGTCCTTGCTTTACTAGACTGGTACGCGGTAGCTAGCAAAATTCCACCTACAAAGAGGGTAGAGATCTTTAGAGATGGTAAAAAATAAATGGATCAAAAGCAAAAGAAGAATCCATTAAGTACCGATTAGACTTTGATATATATATATATATATATATATATATATATATATATGGATAAGATACAATTACATTGTATAAAGTTATTTTAATTTTAGATAGATTAAAATTATTAGATGATTAAAAATAGACAATTGAAATTAATAAGAAAAAATAAGAAAATATTTACTAAAAAGTAAAACAATGAGATAATCTTATTTATCTATTTTTATTTATTTAACCGTTTAAATCTACATAAAACTAAAAAAAATTTATGATATAAGTGAACTTAATATTATATATTTATATAATAACATCCAAAGTAAGTGAGTCAAGCAAGTTAGTTGAATTCAATCTTTATCATGATTTTTTTTTTCCATTGGCTGCAGAGAAATTAGGTAATATGAAGGATCATCAAGCTTCTATTTTTCCCTTTGTCAGCGGATGTACAGTCAATTTCAACAGTTTTAGTTCTTAAATTCCGGGTTTATGCATAAACTAAACCTTGTCTTAATCAATCTGAAGGCTATATATATATATATATATATATGCGGATCTTGCAAATAGTTTAAACATAATATGAGAAAAAGTTTGGCGTTTTTATCCATAAATTACCGATAAATTAATACTTAATTGTTAGGTATTTTTTTTTCAAATATTATTGATATAGTACTCTTTTTGATAGACTGATAATAAAATATATTTTAGGATATACGTTTTGCAGACGTGGATTGAAGGTGCGGATCATGAAGCGCTCCTTCTGGGGTTTTGTCTGAGCTGATGCCACAGTAAAAAAGTACGAATTGTAATCACACCTTAGCGTGGAATTTGACACATGGTGGAATGTGCGAATCAATTACCACATACCCTTTAATATCGCCTAACCACCTGTCTCCTTCCCTTCTATAATACCCTCTCATACAACAGTTAAACCATACAAAAAAATTTCATTCTATTTCTTATCAATTCTTGTAGCAAGCTTTAAGTAAGTTTTGCTATCACTTTTAGAAGCTATAAACTTTTTTATTATATTATAATCATTTAATAGTTATTATTTAATTATTATTTAGTTTACTAATTTTCTTATTACTTTTGTAGTTATAAAATAGAAGGTGGGTTGCAGCATTTAGATGGGAATCATATCTCGAGTCATTTTGCAGATAAGTTAACAATTTTAATTTTTGTTATTTTAATTATTGTGAATGTTTATTTATTTTTAGCATTAGTTTATATTTTAATTTGGATATATTTATTTAATTAGGGAATGATTGTATATTAGATCAATTTATTCGTAACGCTAAGTTAGAAATACCAAGTCGTGTTTGGCCCTATTTAGCTGAGGTTGGATTCGATTACATAGTAAAATATGAAATGCACTTTAACATTGAATCTAACCTTATTTATGCACTGATTGAGAGGTGGAGACCATAGACACGAACATTTTATCTTCCGTGTGGGGAGTACACTATTACGTTGGATGATGTTTCTATATATTTGGGGCTTATGATAAATGGGGATGTTATTTCTGGTAAGGTTGATAGTAATTAACATTCATTATGTGAGGAGTATCTTGGAGGTATCCCGCCTAATTTCAATGGTGATCGAATATCGTTATCATGGTTGGCTATAAATTTTCTATATTTAACTGAAGACTGTTATGAGGAACAAGCCAAAATATTTTCATGGGCTTGCATATTACAACTCACAGAAGGGATCTTGATGCCCAATAAATCTCGCAACCAAGTTCATTGTATGTGGTTGTGTCACCTCGAAGGTTTTCACGTTGCCGGCGGACTCAGTTGGGGCTCCATAGTTTTGGCACTCTATATAGAAAAATGTGTCGGGTAACTGATTATCAAAAAAATGTTCTCGACGGATGTCTCCTTCTTCTCCAATTTTAGGTGTGGTATTGCATGTCCTTTTTATGTCCGGTCGTAAATAACCCGTTAGTTTTCCCGTTATTATTGAGGTAATTTCAATACTGATTTTGTATATAAATAATTTTTTAGTATATAATGAAATATTTTTTTACATTGAATAGGTGGTCATATACAAGGAAAAATCATTGTGATAACCAGATGAATTGGAAGAAATTCAGCTACTCATCGATCAGAAGGCTAGTACAAAGGTATGTATTTAAATTTTATTATTTACCTTTAATTATCATTATATAATTAAAATATTATTTGATAAGAATTATATATATATATATATATATATATATATATAATTTGAATGGGCTTCTTATTCTACTCGAGAAATGAGGCTTTGCATCCCACCTCATTTGAGTGGCTCATTAGATGTATGGATAGCGGTGATCTCTCTAATATGTTATGATATTGTCGAGTGGTGTCCTATTGATCGTGTATTTCTCCAATTTGCTTTCGTACAACTCATTCATAAAGCATAAGAATCTCGACAATATACATAACGTCGATGGACGGACCAACAAGGATTTCAACTGGTTATTGAAGCATAGTGAAAAATGATCTGGGAGGATTGACGTAGACGTATTCCCCCTAGGGAGCTGATTTATGTGGATCATTAATCGGTTGTGGGTGACTATTATGAGTAGTTCACATGAATGGAAAGTCATTCCTACTTTCTAAGGAAGCATGAGGCGTGGGAATTCATAAGCGTCGAGAAAAGCATCCACCATCACAGCATCATCATCTTCCAACTCGTGAACAGATAACATACACTTTCTGCTCGTCCTCAATTGTAGAACAAAAATTATTACAGCAGCCACCATCTACACCGATTTACATTCCAAACCTACCACTAAATGGGTACATCGCGTTATGATGGCACATCAACCATTTTAGATGGCACAACAACCATTTCAGATGCCATCGAACCCGGTTCAGATATCACTGCAATCGATTCAGACGCCACCACTGCAGGGTTTTATGACACCTCCTGACAGATATTATATTGGCATGCTTATAGATCCATTATTCATTATTCTTCTTAAATTTTCCATGATAATTCGCGAAATATGTCGGATACAATACCGATGTTGGACATAGGGAGGTTGCCATATTGGACCCAAAGAGTCTATTGTTGCTTTGATCCCAGCTCCGCGGTTTGAAATGATGCATATGTTTCCCCTCCTGACAACATGTAAGAGTAAGTTTCTAAGGAAAAAAACCCAATAATATGTATATTCACCATCAACAAGGGCAAAAACAACTGGAAGAATGTGCGATTACTATCTAGAACAAC